TAGATCTCTCTTGGAAGACGTTGGTTCGAGGCCAAACTTCAGATTTGGTGTCGCCTAGACCTGATCTTTTCTCCTACAAACAACATCTGATTTGGTGAAGTTTTCAAAGGAGTTCTGATCTTCTTGGGGCGGCAACACTGTACAGTTTCTTTTTTTGGACTGCAACAGCTTTGGACTTCAGAACTGGTGTCGCCTAGACCTAATCTATTCTACCTACAAACATCATCTGATTTGGTAAAGTTTTTGAAGGAGTTCTGATCTTCTTCTTGGGGCGGCAACATTGTACAATTTCCTTTTTTGGACTTCAGGCCTTCTACATCAGCCTGTGGTTTGAGTTTCTCTCCAGATTGAAGGGTTCTCTCAAGCTCTTCTTAACCCTACACTCAGTTTTTGGTTTGGAGATTTCTAAGGACTGTTTCGATCAGCACAAGATACCTCCTTGTTCTTGAAAAAGACGCCTGATGTGTTGGTAAATCACACTTTTCTCTCAATCGGCTGACTCGATCAACCTATAACCCTAGATTTGGTGTCGTCCTAGGGTTTTCTTGCTTCCCATTTATTTGATTCAAACTTTAGATTGATATTTGAAAGGTTTTAGACTCGTCAGTCTTAAAAACTTGCCTTTTTTGGACTGTCATCTTGAGTTCTTGATTGTTGAATTTGGTTGTCTTTGATATCCTTGTGCCTGGACTGCTATTGTAGCACATGGGAGTAAGAAATCTACTACTGGTGGTGATTCTTTTGTTAAAGGTGATTCTCTGACATCTATGGTTGAGGAAAACATTCGACAACTGGTAACATCTGATATTTCTTCTACTTTTTCTGCTATTGGCTTACCTGGTGAGTTTTCTGGTCATTCTGCTTCTCTTTCTCATATTTGGATCATTGACTCTGGAGCCACCAACCACATGACAGGAGCCTACCCTAACCAACCAAGTAACCTTACTGAAACCCATCACAAACATATTGTTACTGCCAATGGTGAAAAGTTAAACATTATTGGTAGTAGTAATTTGTCTCTTAAGCTTTCACCCACTACATCTTTTCCTCTTACCAAGACCCTTCTTGTTCCTAATATCACTACAATTTTGATTTCTGTTAGCCAATTAATTGATGAGGGTAACATTCTCATCTTCTCTTAGGATGGATGTTTGATTCAAGACCGGAACACTGGAAAGGTGAAAGGGAAGGGGTGTAGGTTGGGCCGTTTGTTTGCATTGGAGTTCGAGAAGCCTCAAACAACATCATCAGTTTATTTCAGTTCATCCACTTCTAGTTCCTTTCTGAGTCATAGAAATAATGTTTGGGACTTATGGCATAAACATTTGGGTCATTTACATGCTGAAAATTTAAAATTTTTGTTTGAATTAGGCGTTATTAAGAATAGAGTTCCTTCCTTGCACACCTTTGATACATCTTGTGTTTTCTGTTGCTTATGTAAGAGTCGTATTTTACCATTTCCTCACACATTTGAGCATGGTACCTCTCCCTTCGAGCTTATACATAGTGTTGTCTGGACTGCATCTGTCACTTCTTGGCTTGGATACAGATATTTTGTGTCATTCATTGATGATTGTACTAGGTACACATGGATATACTTTCTACGCCACAAGTCTAAGGTGTTCCCAACATTTAAGTTTCATGCTATGGTACGGGTTCGGTTTCAATCATAAGTGCATATTCTCTGTTCGGAGTCAGGGGGAGAATACACTGATGGAGATTTTTTATCCTATTTGAAGAATCATGGAATACAAGTGCAACGAAGTTGTCTAGATACTCCTCAGCAGAATGGTGTGGCCGAGCACAAGAATGGACATATCCTTAGTGTTTGCAGGAGTCCCATACTCCACCTTTCTGGGTAGAGGCGGCCAATACAACTATGTTTTTGATCAACTATATTCCTTCCTCTGTTCTTAGTAATATGTCTCCCTTTCAGAAGTTGTTTGGTTGTTCTCCAAATTTATCTATTCTTCATGTTTTTGGATGTGTGTTTTGTTCATCTTTCCTCTTGTGAACGCTCTAAATTGTCTGCACAGTCTGTCATGTGTGCCTTTGTGGGTTACAGTCCTGATCACAAAGGATTTCTTTATTATGATCCCTCTATTCGTCACATTCGTATATCACGTAATGTTGTTTTTCTTAAGCACATTTCCTTTTTTGCTAGAATTGCTAGACTGTCTACACCGTCTGTTTCTGTTTTGCCAAACTTTGATTCACAGGATGCTCCACCTCCTTCTGCTGAGAAGGACCTTCTCGTCTTCTATCGCAAGCGGTTACGTGCTCCAGCCCCTGCACCTGCGACCCTCCTTCTGAAGTAGAGGTATCACTGCTCCTGTAAGTGATACCTCTACTTCAGACACTCTTCATACTTGTGTTCCTCTTCGTCGTTCTACTCGTATATCGAGACCTCTTGACCACTATGGTTTTCCTTTAAACCATAGCTCTTTGTCTGTTGTCCTATCCTCCACAGATGTTCCTCACTCCTACCAGGAAGCTAATAGCAGCCCTCATTGGTAGGAAGCCATGGATGCAGAGATTCATGCTTTACATGAGAATGACACTTGGGACCTTGTGCCTGCTTCTCCAGATGCATCCATTGTTGGGAGTCGTTGGGTTTATAACATCAAGCTGAAGTCTGATGGATCTCTTGATCGATACAAGGCACGTTTAGTTGCCCAGAGATATAGTCAGGAGTATGGCATTGACTATGAAGAAACCTTTGCTCTTGTTGCTAAGATCACCATAGTCCATGTTCTTTTAGCAGTGTCTGCCGCTCACTCTTGGACCATATGCCAACTCGATGTGAAGAATGCCTTTATGGTTAGTTGAAGGAGATGGTTTACATGAAGCCTCCCCCTGGATACTGCAAGCTCCTCGGGCATGGTTTGAATGCTTTCGCAATGTTGTAGTTGTTGTTGGATATAGCAAGAGTTCTTTTGATCACTCTCTCTTTGATAGGCAACGGCCTCAGGGTATTACCATTCTCCTACTATATGTTGATGATATGTTGTTGACTGGGAATGATGCTGAGGGCATTCATGAATTGAAACTATTACTAAATAATTCCTTTCACATGAAGGACTTGGGCCCTCTCACCTATTTCCTAGGACTGAAAGTACATCGTAGTGATTGAGGCTATTTTGATTGTCAGTAGAAGTATGCCTCTAACCTTGTTAAACTTGCTGGTCTTAATGATGAAAAGCATGTTGATACACCTATGGAGCTAAACCTTAAGCTATCTAAATCTAAAGGTCCATTACATCCCGATGTTGCCTTGTATCTCCAGCTTGTGGGGTCCCTCATTTATCTCACTATGACTTGGCCCGATATTTCTCATGTTGTTCAGGTTGTTAGTCAATTTGTTTCTGCTCCTCATCAGCCTCATATGACTATTGCTCATCGCATCATTCGATATGCTAGAGGCACAACTTCTTAGGGACTGTTCTTCTCCTCCTCTCCTATTCAGTTGAGAGCATATGCTGATGCGGATTGGGCTGGTTGTCTAGACACTCGTAGGTCCACTTCTGGATGGTGTTTTTTTTTGGGTGATCCACTCATTTCTTGGAAGTGTAAGAAACAACAAACGATCTCCAAGTCTTCCATTGAAGCAGAGTATAGAGCCATGTCTTCGATTTGTAGTGAGATTGTTTGGTTACCATCTCTCTTTATGGATCTTGGCATTCAGCTTCCTACTCCTATTCCTCTCTATGCAGACAATACAAGTGTTATCAAGATTGCATTCTAACCTTGTCTTCCATGAGAGGACCAAGCACATTGAGGTGGACTGCACCTTTATCTGAGATCTTTTCACTACTGGGTCTATATCGCTTCCTCATGGAGCCTCGAACATGCAAATTGCTGATATCTTCACCAAAGCTATGACTAGAGTTCAACATCTCTTTCTTATAGACAAACTGATGCTTATGTCTAGGCATCAGTTTGAGGGGGAGTGTGGAGACTCTATAACTTGATGTATCTTATTAGTATAGTCCCTATTGTATATTGCTTATACATCTTATTCTTCTTTTCTCTTTCATCCCTATATGGGCATTCTTGTAATTGTACATATATTTTAATATATAAGAGACTCTTTGAGGTGGGGGTCATTTATTCTTGACACCTCTAAGATTATCCTTGTTCTTTTCTCTATTCAGCCAAGAGTGTTGACAAGAGCTACTATACTCAATGAATGCTGAAAGTCCTTGATTTGTCCAAGATGTGCAGGAGATTGGATGCAATTATATTGTGGTTGCTCTATTTCAAAGCTCTTTTGGGGAAATTTTTGGGCTGTTTCAGTTCTACTTTGGTGAATCCATGATCTTCTGGAGACAATCTTGCTCGTTGGCCTACTTTGAAAGGAATTTTATGGCTTAGAGGGTCTGGAGCTATGTGTTCCTTTTTCCATATTTTGGAAATTGTGATTGAAAGCTTCAATGGGTTCCTGATTTCAATCATTGAAGAAGAGAGGCATTCACTCTTTTTTGTGAGGAAAGGAGAATAGATTGGTTGCTTTTTTTTCCAGAGTTTGAAGGGATTTTCATAGACGATTATTAGTTTTTGGTTTTCTCTTGAGTTGGATTCCAAGTAGTGACTGTCTGTATCTTTTTTTTTTTCCTCTGTGGTCTCCTTGTTTGGGTTTTTTGAGTATAAGAGATGGTGATCCCTCATCACCCTGATTGCTGTAACTTTTCCTTTTATTAACAAATTTTCCTTTTTTATTTATTACCAAAAAAAATTATCACACTTTAGTTCTTCTAGGCCAGAAAATTAGATGAGGATTTGTTTATTTCTTTGGTACTTAGCTTTTATCTTGCTATATCATTTTTTGTGTTACAGTTGCTATAACATTTTCTGGATGGAATTGTTTCTTCTATTATTACAGGATATTGTCTTCAGCCTTCCTTTCAGTTTTCTGCTTCTTTTTGCCTTTCTGATGTTGTTTGGTAGTTTTTGGTTCTTTTATTGTCTATGCATGAATTTGAGCATGCTTTATCATGCAGAGAATTCATATATTGGAAGTACTGGAAGCTAGGGTTGGCAACAGCAATGACATGGGAGTAGCTAGTCACTTCCTTCAAGTTCAACGTGATTTCAATGAGTAAGATTTTATTGTGCCTGTTTATTAAATCTAAATTTTTAGATTACTATGAATTTGTGGTTTGAGGTAGTAGGGAGATTTTACACTTCATTGAAAGTTGGATTATTAATGTGAGGTTGTAGTTTGTTGAACTAGTAGAAATGTATAATAATGTCCATGATCAGAAAACTTAAAAACAAGAGGAGAATTTGATGATTGGTAAAGATTTTACTTGACCATACATCTGAGGAGACTTTGAAGATAAAATGCAGTGACTATAACAAGTCCACTAATATTTCTATCAGTAATGCGGTTTAACTTTAACCCTAGATGTATCTGTAACTAAAAGTTATAGTAAAATCTGATGAATTCATGATTCATTTCAAGAATCAAACATGATATAAATCTTGGTTTCAGATCTTGGAACTTATATATCTTTTCTAATATGGTATCCTGATGACATGAAAATCCAAATTACTTGATTCTGGGTGTCTGTTCTCAATTGCTCCATCATGTTGATCAATAACAATCCAATAGGAATCCATCATAATGATCATATACCAAAGAATAAACCAATCGCTGTGGTCCATATAGTAGAACTGTGCAGCTGGATGTTTGAACCAGGTTGAACACTGAATATTTAGGTTGAATTCACTGGCATTGTCTAGTTTTAAGACATCAGTGTGGACATACCTAGAAAGTCCCAAGAAGGTGCAACTAGACCAAAGCAAAGATATAAAAGTTGACCAAGCACAATTCAGAAAATACAGTGATACTAACAAGTTGGTTTGGTTTTAAATGGTGCTTCTGTGTTTTCTGTTTCTGCAGAAATGATTATGAGATGTTATTGGCTCTTGATGAGAACAATCATCAACATGGTGGTGCATCTCTCAGTCAGATTACTGGCCTGCCACAGTCAACTGTCCAGGTATATATATTACTTTTATAAATTTGTAGAACTTGTATATTTGTATATCCCTACTATATAGTTCCTTGGTGTACATGGCTTGCACAAATTGTGCAGAAAGGTTGCTTTCTATTGATTGTTCTTTAGGGGAGGGGGGCTGCATTTTAAGATTGTGCAGAAAGGTTGCTTTCTATTGATTGTTGCCCCACCCTCTTTGTTGCATGCAGACTGATAACTTAGAAGAAGCTTGTGCAATCTGTCTTGAGACCCCAAAAACTGGAGATAAAATTCGCTATCTTCCCTGCTTGCACAAATTTCACAAAGATGTAAAAACTCCCTTGCCCTTTATAACTTGAATGCTCTTTTCCTAAATTGAGGACAATCATGCAACAGCTAATCTTTTTGCTTTGTAATGACAGTGTATTGATCCTTGGCTGAGAAGGAAAACATTATGTCCAGTTTGCAAGTCCTCTATCACTTGATATGCACGTATATTTGAGTCCTTCATGCTAGTGCATTACAGCAGGTTATATTGAGGTTGCAAGTAGTAACATTTTTGGTTTTGTAGGTAATCACAAATCCATGCATTCTACCTGAAATTTGTTGAAATGGACATCAAAATTGGGCCATATAATTTTGTTTTGTTTTTGTTTTTCTTGTTTTCAGTTCAAGTTATACTGAATTACTGGTACATCAAAATTTGTTTTCTTAAATGGTACTAATAGGGATAGTGGGTGGAAAGAAAAGGCTTTGAAGGAAACACCCTTTACATTTTTTTTTTTTTTTGGGGGGGGGGGTGTGATATGAGGAGCCCTCCTCCCCAATTATCTGCCTACCATTGTGTCTTTTAGATGATATCATCTTTCGATATCCAGTATTTGTTTTTTTCTATTTTTAGTTTCTACGATGCTTGTAGTTTCTACAATGCTTCCTGTTCCTCAAGAGAACAATGATTTTTACACTGTTTACATCCAATAACTCATATTGAGTGCATTATATCCAGATGAAAGTTGACAGATCCACTATGCATTCTATCAGGCCCCACGTCACAGTACCTGGTGAATCAAATTTCCCAGATTTGACTCAATTAATCAAGGCATTGGTTCACTAAGTTGACAGATGTGCTTCAGATTACGAAGATGATTTTGCTTGGTAGATTTATTGAAGTTACTTGTGTTCCCATTTATCCGCTTTGTGCATTTGATTATGTATTACATTTGTTTGGTAATGGGAACTAATAATTGTATCCTGTTTGTTTTTTGTGATGATGGTGGTGATTATTATTATTAAAAAAATTGTTAATGAGAGGAATAGTCTCTTAAATTGAGAATTGTGTTGCATCAACAATGCCAATTTGATATAAAATTTATCCATGCATGATCAAAAAATTTAGTGAGTTGTCAAAAGACCTGCAGTTATTAATTCAGTGGGTGCCAAGGTCAGCCAACAATCTAGCTGATCAGTTGGCAAAACAAGGGGTAGCCGAGGCTACTCCATGATATAAAGACACCCTTTCTATCTCAATAAATATCTTCTTTTAGGTTCAATTTGGAAGGAGTACAAATACAAATATGTGCAGTGCAAATCTGTGTATTTTGTATTATTTTGTATATATTTGTACTGTACATTTGTATTTGTACTCCTTACAAACTAAGCCTTGATGATTAAAAAAAATATATTTAGTCATGCATGATTGTGACAGATCTGAAGCTCGTTGTAAGTCAATTCCCAAAATTCGATAAATAGTCAGTGATCTAAAGTCGGGTTCACCTGGTTTACTTGGGTGTTTGAACTAATATACCGAGTTTGAGAACACTTGAACTAGAGTATTTCTTTTTCATTTTTGAATTTCAGTTGGTTGGGCATAGCGAAGCCAGGTTGTCTGGTAGAGTTTTTCTGGGCATTGACAAACTCTAGCAGACAACCTTGGTAAGTGCAGACTATAATATCATCTCAATGAAATTCCAATAACCGTGTAATGAACATTTTATTTTATTTTTTCTGTCTGCAACTGCAAGTTCAGAGAGGCTAGACCGAATGCACATACATAATTAGTGTATCCAGCCTATGGCATTGCTCTGCTTGGGCTTGCACCAGCCGGAACTCATCGGCTGAAAATGCAATGCATATTTGTGACAGCAATTGCAAAGAGGCCCTCCGTCTTAGCAATGCAAGCGTTGTCTTCCCTATTTACTCGAGGCGATTGATGTCGGGATGATCCGGGGATTGAAGATCGACAAGCGAGCCCCTATGCTTTCTCACCTGCTATTCCCATTATCCCATATATGATTGTTTGTTACCTTTTGAAATTGCATGAACATTAAGAATATTCTTTATTGAAGGAGTTAAGTGAGAGGCGTCTTTAGTTCAAATATTCTTGGGAATGGGAAGTTGGGCCGGATGATGTGTACAATATTGGGGATTCTTGAAACTAAAAGGTATTTGAGGCCCTGTTTGATGATTAAGTGGTTGTTAAAAGTACTTGTTGAACAAATACTTTTTAGAAGTACTTATTTTAATCACTTAAGGCTGTTTGTTGACCCATTTGCCAAATCACTTAAGGCTGTTTGTTATCCCTCACTTTACTCATACATATATACAAGTCAAAAGGAAGGTGTCGGTTGTTGGTTGCTAGTTGCTCCCAAGGAAGGTGCCGTCACTGGTATACTTGACCCTGTTCGAGTGAGGAATTTAAGGAAAGGGGGTATTTAAAAAAATAAACAAAGACTTTAGTCCCAAAATTTTTGCAGGTCCACTTAGTAACAAACACCCACAATTTTTTTTTTTAAGTACTTCTTTATCAGATAAGTATTTTTTTGATACTTTTTTACCAAACACCCACAAGTGCTTATTTTCCACTTAATGTATGGTCCCAACATTTTTATTAAGTACTTATAGAAAAAGTACTTGTTGAAAGTGAAATCGAACAGACACTGAAACGTAAATTAAATGGGGTCTGGTGGAGCGCACTAAAGCTAAGTTGAAGGAATGGAAACGGGTTTGCAAGAACTTTGGGTTGGGGATTCATGATATCTCGTTTTAAAGTCTCCAAGATTGCTGTGTTCTTCTGGGGCAGAAGGTGGAGAAGAGGATAAGGTGGGTGAGTTGGAAGAGGGTTGGTGAGAAAAAAGTGAGTGGTTTTAGGGACCTCCATTTATTCAATATTCAGGGGCTTTACATCAAAGTTGAGGCTTAAGCCTTGAGGCAAAAATTTGTTCACCTTGCCTCAAGGCTTATTTTAAAACAATGCTTGTTAGAGAATTCTAATAGAAGGGGTTTATTTGCAACTGTGTTAAAAAGTTCAAGGGAGATAATTGCAATTATCAAACTTACATGGAGGTTTTAGCAACAGTAAAAAACTATCATATTTGTATTTATACTCCTTCCAAACTGAGCTATAGTTTCAAAAAAGAATTTGCGGTCCAAAACTCATCCTTCAACTAGTGATTCTTTGGAGCAGAATTGTAATATTGGAAACGATACGCCCTATCCAATGTTATGATGACAGTCGAATATATCCAATTGCTGTCATTATAGGGTATTATTTAGGCCTATAATGGAATGAATTCCGATAAAATCAAACCATATTCATATTTGATTATGATTAAAGGGTGGGTGATTTGAAATCAATTCAATGTCTGTCAAATATGCAAAACTACAAATTGAATTTGAATTCAATTAAAGAATTGGATATTCAACCTGGATCGAATTTGAACAATTTTATAAACATTGAAAACCCCAACTTTAGAAATCAAATTGAGCAATAAGAAACCCTTCAACTGCTCTGACCTGTGTGAACAAGAAATAAAAAGCTCAAAAAAATCTAAAAAATAAGAGACTTAAAACCTAAAAATCTAGAACAAATAAAAGAAGATAGAGAAAGAGCATGGACAACAACAAGTGAACTTGAACGGCTCCAGTGGTCCAGCCAGCCAAAGCCGATGTTCAAATATCGGAAGTCTGAACACCATGGCCTCGTGCTCTCTCCCTTCTCTCCACGCTAGCTCTGATTTTTTTCCCCATGAAAGAGAAATTGCAGAGACGGGAGGATGAGGCCAAGAGAGGTATAATAAAATAAGAGATAAACAACAGAAAGTAAAAATCAATTTATATATCAACTGTTGTCTTTTGTACGAAATAAGACAACTTTTTGTTAAAAGGTATAAAATTTAATCATTCAGATATATAACGGATTCGAATTTCGGATTTTCCGATACCATTTACACAGGCCTAGCCTAGGACACTGATTTAAGCTGTCAAAGGAAAGCACAGAGCAAAAGAAAGAGTGATGTATAATTATCAAGCAGCCTTTAATTTGAAATTGATTGAGATAATACTAAAAGACCGACTAACAAACAATCCTGATAAAATTAAAACAGAAGCAGCAGCTTCCACATACAGAACCATTAAAGTGGACCTGGAGACGTCTCCCACTCTACACTGCTTTATTTATTGGGTTTTCCACGTACCAAGATGGATGAAGATCATCTATAGAACATCTTTGGACAGCAAATTGTTGGTTCCAACCTGCCGGGCATTGCACAAGGGATCAACACAGTCCCCTCTTTCAAAAACAGCTGCAGCACCCATTCCCGTTCCTGCAAAGAACAATAAACGTTTGGGCTTTCAGTTGTAAATTGTCACCTGGCTTTAATAGTTCCAGGGTAGAACATTCATAGAGGGGGGAAAAAACACCAACCAATGCACATAGAAATAACTCCAAAGCGGCAGTCCTTGCCACGGCGTTTCATCTCATGCAATAGGGTGGCAACGCAGCGGGCGCCTGTAAAATATAAATCATGCTTAACAAGTTTTATTATCAATGCAATTTATATTGGTTTGCACACACCCTTCACTGAAAGCTGAAGGAAAATCATGTCAATTGATGCTTTGTGTCTAAATAAATACAGACTTCCCGTGATGTCCACATGCACAATTTTATTTCCATGTTTGTTAAATGGTGTGAAAGATAGTGTAGTATAATTGAAACTTCCGCTTAAAACTCTGAATATCCAAGAGCAATTACCAATCAATGAAGAACGGTAATGTTTTTTTTTATCAGTAACAGTGAAATTTTATTAATGATAAAAACATGATTACAACGGGATGAAGCTAAAAGGTCTTAACTCCAGTTTCCCAAGAACTTTCTGATCTTGTAGTGATTACAAAACAGCCCAGAATAATGTGTCTCTATTTACCCCTTGCCTAGCTAGATCATCAGCCAGTGCATTTGCACTTCTCTTTATCCAATTACATTGAATTTCCATGTCCCTGGTTAACCATTTGTATTTCCTCTTTTCATTGCTGTATTTCCACACCATAGCACTGTCCTCTGTTAGCCATTTCACCACCATTGCAGAATCACCTTCAATAACCACCTTTTTGATCTTCATTTCCTTGACCCTTTGAATTCCTTCAATAGCTCCAAGAATCTCAGTCCTCAATGAATCTCCCACCCCAATCGGCACAGAGTACATGGCTAACACGTTCCCTGTTCCATCCCTTATCACACCTCCAATTCCCGAAGGCCCTGGTATGCTGCTACCATCAAAATTCAGTTTGGTGAATCCAATAGGTGGACTCCAGCAAGCTTTTAATAACTTTCTACATAGGCCTGAATCAATCTCCTTCCAATTCCTTAACAACTCATCAACTGAAAACACTCTGAACAGCTCCAGTGTTCTCAACCATCATTATAATGTGAATGCTCTCTATAATTTCTTCCATACCTCTCTTTTCTTGAGAAGATCCTTGAGTTCCTCTCCTCCCACACTGTCCAACATACTGCAGCTCTACCACACCTCCACATGATTTTAGCCCTTTTAGTTGGCCAATTAGGCATGGAAGAAAACAAGCTTTGAACACTCAAAGGGGGAGGGGAGGGGGTCCACTTGCATCCAAACAAAGAAGTAAACCATACCCAAATAGCTTTAACAAACCGACAAGAAATTAGCAAGTGATATCCGGACTCACCGTCAGACTTACAGAGAACACACCAATGAGGAGACAAATAGCTGTTGGGTCTTTTCCTTTGGAGTAGATCCCTTGTATTAACTCTTGCCAGGAAGGCTTCTCAACAAAAACTCCCAACCTTAGGAGGTATAGGTCGACAGCACACTTCTTTAATAGGAAAAGAAAAGCCAGCGGGATAAGAGGGTAATAGTGCTTTGAAAAAGGAGGCACAAGTATAAGAGTCTGAGGCAGCGAGTGTCCAGATTCTGCAATCTGCTTTAGATGGATCAATAAAGACCCCTTCAAGGATAGAAAGTAAGGCTATGGTACAGACAATCTCTGTGTCCCTAACACCTCTTCTCAAGCTTAGGTTCCAACCAAACCCAGAGAGTGAATTAGGAGGAGCAATAAAGGAAGAAATTGGTTCATTCTTGAGGGAGGACAAAGCAAAAAGGCCTGGAAATTGATCTTTCAGAGGGAAGTCCCCAACCCAGACTTGTTCCCAGAATTTGACAAGGGTACCAGAATGCAAGTCATACCTGATCCATGGAGAGAATAAAGGCAAGATCGCTTGAATGGCTCTCCGAGGGGAAGCTCTTGTGGCCCTTGCTAGAATTCCTGAACCCCAACCATTATCTGCCAGTCCATGTATACTTCCCACCACCTCAACCCACAACCTATCTTTCTCCAGTGAGAATCTCCATAACCATTTTTCTAGTAGTGCTAGGTTCCTAGTCCTAATATTACCAATACCCAACCCTCCTTCCTCTTTAGCACTACAAACCACCTCCCATTTGACCCTATGATCCCTCTTCTCCTCCCCCAGCTCCCACAGAAAATCCCTCATTAGCTTTTCCAACCTATTAGCCACCTTCACCGGTATCCTAAAAACTGACAGAAAATATACAGGAAGGTTAGCCAACGTAGACCTAATTAGGGTGATTCTCCCTCCAAGGGACAAATAATTTCTATTCCAGTTGGCCAGTCTCTTTTCAAATCTCTCCACAACAGGGACCCAGAAATCATCTCTCTGAGGATTATCTCCCAAAGGTAGGCCTAGGTAGTTTAACGGCCAATTAGACACTGCACATCCCAAAATATCTGCAAACTCCCCCATCTTCCCTTCCCCCATATTGACTCCAACTATACAACTTTTTTCAAAATTCACCCTAAGATTTGACATATGTTCAAAGAGTTGTATAGAGAGTTTCAAAATTTTAATCCAATTGACAATCCCCACCTTCACAAAGTAGAATTGTATTGTTAACAGCTATTATTTTCTCCTATGTATAGTATCGCAAGGGTACTATTGTACTTTTGCTCCTTTTTTTATTTTAGTTGATGTCGCCCTAGTATATATATTAAAAAGTTGCGCCGCCAGCAGTATCTTTGAGCTCTCAGTTCTCTCTTCTTCTCTCTCTTTTCTCTCTTCTTTCATTCTTCTCTCCTGCATAACATGGTATCAGAGTAGGACTACCAGATCTGAAAGGAGAAGTCAAGCGAACAGTCCTTTTTCTTCTTCGCACCAGATTTCCAGATCTTCCGCCCTCATCTTTGTTCGGCTGATTGAAGATCTCACACATTGAAGTAACCTTTCTCTCTCTCTCTTACCTCAATTTCTGGTCGTGTGCCAAGGCAAAACCTGTACTAGGTCTGTCGATTGGATGTGAGGTCTCTCTTACCTCAATTTCTTTCCTTTTTTGTGGGGTCGACTGATCCTTGAGAAACTGTAGGTCGTGAGGACCTTTTTTGTGTGCTGCAACAGCAGCTTTTACGGTGAACTGTGGGTCAGAAAGTGATCAGTACCTCTTGTGTGCTGCAACAACAGCTTTTATGGTGAACTGAAGGTTAGAAAGTGACCAGTACTTGCTGTAACAGTAGTCCTGTTGATGCGTATGTCAAGAGATGACMTGTATGYACTGTRGCAACACTTGTGTTGAACTTGTAAGTCAAGGGATGACCTGTTAGTGCTGTAACAGCACCTGTAACAACACTTTAAGGCTGTGT